TAGTTCACTGAACATCTTAATTTTCTAAATTATTTCTCCATCATTTTCTCTAATGTGGTGTCAATGGGATCAGTTGTTGAAGTGTTGTTGGCTATTCTGGGTGACTTGTCTCTTTGCTTTTTCATACTGCTTATATGTTTACCCATCCGTTGGGATGATTATTGTTTTTCTCTTTTATACAAGGGACTATTTAGTGAGCTTCCATCTCTTAAGGGCCCCAGGCTGGGTGAATATCCAGGAACTGATAGTTTCACTCACTGTGTGTCCTCTGCTATTCCCACTACAAGGACTACTTTGAGAGAAGACATTAAACCCTATTTACTACAGACACTTCAGAGCAAAGCTAAATACTAACCAACTTTAGAAAAAAACAAAATTGTTGACAATATTCTCCACAGTTTCTTTGACCCAGGTATAAACTTGTAGTACTGTTCTGGAATAGGTTGGAAAATTAGTTACTAATAGGAGTAAAATGGCTATTATATACAGGAGCTAAAAAAGGAAGGAAAAAAAATTGGGCTAAACAAGAGAAAAGTGAAAAAGTAATGAAAAGATAGAAAAGAACCATACAAAAACTAAGGTAAAAAGAATAAGATGGGGCAGGGGGATTTAAGATAGTAGCAAGTAATGGAAGAGAAAAGAGGAGCTTAGAGGAACAAATGTAAACCTGAGCTAAAAAAAACAAAAAGGATGATTCCACTAAATGCTTTAAAATACTAGAAGAAATACAATCAAATGGATTGAGGGCACAATATCAAATTTTAGGGTAACAACTCTCAAATCAAAATGAATAATATATGTATGATCAAAGTTGACATTAGAACTGTTTACAATAAAACATGCCAAGGTGGAGAAAATTCTTATTGAGTCATCCTGGTTTGGACTTCATCAGTTTAGAAAATGCCCAACACTCTTCAGCTTTTGATTTCCCCCTAGAGGTTCTGGGGGCACAGGAGTAATATCCCTGGTTGCTGTGTACTTCCACCACCCAGCTCTCCATTCTTTTTTGAAATATTTATTTTTTAGTTGTAGGTAGACATACAATATCTTTTTATTTTTTATTTTTTTAATGTGGTGCTGAGGATCAAACCCAGTGCCCCAAACATGCTAGGCAAGCACTCTACCATTGAGCCACTAACTCCAGCCCCCAGTTCTCCTTTTATTAGCCCAGGGGCCTAAGGCTAGATGCTCAGAGGGTTGCTTTGCTGCATCTGCTGGGTGTTTTTGTTGTATGCAACAGCACCCAGTACTTGGCTCAGGGCTGTCGCGCACCCGCTCACCTCCACATGCTCTCTTCAAAGTAGCATAGGTCCTGGTGTCTGTCTGCAAGCACTGGACCAGTAGTTCTAGGGTCATTGTGGCTGGTCTGCAGTGCAGAAGTGTTTCCCCTAAACCAGAAGATTGTGGACCAGTGTCCCTGCTCACCAATAATAGGCTCAGCCAGTCCAAGCTCCCCAGCTGATTAAAAATCACAGATGCCAACCCCCTCCACTGTCCAGAACAAAAACAACCTTTCCACCTGTGCATGAGCTCTCACTGCCCACAGCTGTGAAACATGGGCATACATTCTGGTTTCCGAATTCCTGTGGAAGATGTATGGAGCGCTGGGTCAGGTAAGCACTTCCTGGGAATAACCAGCTCTGGGGGCTGCTCCACCCCACTTCCCTTGTCCTCAGTGAGGAGGAAGGTGTTTCGGCAACTTTGGGCAAGTAGGGATCCTTCAAGTTTCTTACAGACAAATAACTGAGACATGCTTATGCAGAGGTACTCCCTCTAGTTTTATCTGTTGCTATCTGAAGGTAGGGAGAAGCTCTTTTGATTTATTTTAGAGAGGTTGACCACCTGTGGACTCCACAAAATGGCTGCCATAGCAAGAATGGCTTTCAGTCCACAATTTAGATTAAACTGCCTGATCTCCTCACTGATTCCACCTGTTTCTATCACATATCAATTTTGTCTGTTTTTCATTCCAACTGTTAAGAAAGTGATCCTGTGTGCTTTTCCTCTCCTTTTTTCTCCATTTCCTTCCCCTATCACACCACCCTAGTTCAGGTTCAAGATTAAAGAACTCTGTCCTTATTTTCCATTCTGATAACCTCTGTAACTCTTCAAGTTTCATACTGTCCAACATTGGGTCTTAGAGCATTTACTCTCTCACCCAGCTCTGTAGTCAACTGTTCCTTCACCATCTCCTTTCTAAGCTATTTAGGAATCCAGAATCACTGCCTAGTTATACTCCACCATCTTTCTCTCTCTCCCTACTTGACATTTTCAAAGGTACCCAGGAGGTTGAGGTAGGAGGATCAAGTTCAAAGCCAGTCTAAGCAAAAGCAAGGTGCTAAGCAACTCAGTGAGGCCCTGTCTCTAAATAAAATACAAAAAGGGCTGGGGATGTGGCTCAATAGTCAAGTGCCCCTGAATTCAATTCCCAGGAAGATCCAATAAAAAAAGAATTTATCATATTGTACACCTTTTTTTTTTTTTGATTTTTTTAATATTTATTTTTCAGTTTTCAGTGGACACAACATCTTTATTTTATTTTTATGTGGTGCTGAGGATCGAACCCAGCGCCCCGCGCATGCCAGGCGAGCACGCTACCGCTTGAGCCACATCCCCAGCCCATATTGTACACCTTAAGTATGTACAGTTTATTGTAGTTCAGTTAGACCTCATGAAATCTCTTAAAAACACAACAAAGTCAAGCATGGTAGCACATGTCTATAATCCCAGCCACTAAGCAGGTAAAGTAGGAGGTGCTATTAATTAGAATATTAGATGTTCTCCAAAAGCTCATGTGAAAATCAATGCAAGAAAGCTTAGAGGTAAAATATTTGAGTTATGAGAGCCTTAACCTGGTCATTGTATTAATCCACTTGAATGGATTAACTGGGTGATAAATGTAGGCAGATAAGGTGTGGCTGGTGGAGGTGGGTCATTAGGGACATGCCTTTAGGGATATATATTTTGTCCCAGATCTACAGTGTGCCCCTCCCCCCCTTGTTTCCTGGTGCCACATCCTAAGCAGCTTTTCTCCACCACACACTCCAACCATGATGTTCTGCCTCACCTCCAGACCCAAAGAGTGGAGTTGGTCATCTATGGACTGAGACCTCTGAAACATTAGTACCAAATAAACTTTTCATACTTTGAAATTATTCTTTCCCAGTCTTTTCGTCACGGTGACAAAAAAGCTAACAGGAGGATTTCAAGTTTAAGGCCAGCTTGGACAACTTAGCAAAACCCTGTCTCAATTAAAATTAAAAACAGCTGGGGATGTAGCTCAGTGGGGTAAAGCAGTGCCTAGCATGTTAGCATGTGTGAGGCACTAGGTTCAATCCTCAGTTCCATAAAACACATACACATACACATATACACACATACATACACACACACACACACACACACACACAGAGTAATATTACCTCTTCCTTTCAGGTTTAAAAGAAAATTTGTATTCTCTTTTTCTTTTTTAATTGATAAGTAAAAGTTATATATTGATGGTATACAACATGATGTTTTCATTTATTTACATATCGTGGAATAGGCAAACTAAGCAATTTACATATTTATTAACTCATATTTATTATAAGAACCTGTAAATTATTGTCTAAGAAATTTTCAAGTACACATTAATATTAATTGGAATCACAATGATGTAAAATATATCTCTTAAACTTTTTTTTTTTTTTTTTTTCAGTTTTCGGTGCATACATCTTTGTTTTATTTTATGTGGTGCTGAGGATAGAACCCAGTGCTGCGCGCATGCCAGGCAAGGGCGCTACCGCTTGAGCCACATCTCCAGCCCAATCTCTTGAACTTTTTCATCTTGTGTAACTGAGGTTTCATGCTCTTTGATCAGTATCTCTTCAATCCCTAGTTGTTGTTTTTTGTTTGTTTGTTTTTAGTTGTAGAACACAATACCTTTATTCCATTCATTTATTTTTATGTGGTACTGAGGATTGAACTCGGGGCCCTGCGCATGCTAGGCAAGCACTCTACTGTTGAGCCACAATCCCAGCCCCTCAACCCCTAGTTCTTAATAACCATTATTTTACTATTTTTATGCATTTGACTTTTTTGGATTATATATATAAGTGAGATCAATGCATTGTCTTTCTGTTATTCTCTTTCAACATGATAGTAATACTTCTACGGCATCCCACACATCAATAATCTCTACATTGGGGGGAGAGGGTTACCAAGAACTGAACTTAGGGGTACTTTACCACTGAGCTACATCTTCAGCCCTTTCTTTTTTTTTTTTTTTAAGAGAGAGTGAGAGAGATAGAGAAGGAGAGAGAGAGAGAGAATTTTTTTTAATATTTATTTATTTTTTTTTAGTTTTTCGGCAGACACAACATCTTTGTTTGTATGTGGTGCTGAGGATCAAACCCGGGCCGCACGCATGGCAGGAGAGCGCGCTACCGCTTGAGCCACATCCCCAGCCCATCTTCAGCCCTTTCTATATTTTTATTTTGAGATAGGGTCTCACTCAATTCCTTACAGCTTCACTGAGTTACTGAGACTGGCCTCAAACTTGCAATTGAGTTAAGTTGCTGGGATCAGAGGTATGTGCCATTAACCCTGGCTAGTCTCTATATTCTTAAATCGTTAAGAATTTCAATGCCAGGCACTCATTAAGGTTACAGAGACACAAATACATTGGCAAGAATATATTCCCCAACAACCCACTTCCATACCAAATTACAGGAGTCCTGCTCTGCTTTCTACCTATCTAAGGTAAAGGATATCATTCCAGTCATCTCTATCTTTGCATCACTAATGACTTACCAAAGGATACTCTTCAAAAAAAAATTTTTTTTTATTGCTCTCACACCCTTCAATCTTCCACATTACCTTTCTGCTTTGCCATCTTCCTGTTTCCCTTGATAACAGTGATGTTTGTGATTCTATATTTCATCTTATTTCATTTTCTCACATCTACCAGGTATTTTCTAAAGATATATTTGAGGATAAGAAAACTATTTCTATACACTTACCTCAAGTACTGGTCCAGCTCCAAGAATAATCTGTTCTACTCCACTGGCAAATCCTTTCTGACTGAGTGCAGTAAGGTGGTGAATAAGAAAGTTTGTGCTTTGAGTCTTCCCAGAACCACTCTCTCCTGAAATCACAATGCACTGATTCTTTTTACGCTGAAGCATAGCATGATAAGCTACATCAGCCACTGCATATATGTGGGGCTCAAGTTTTCCCAATTGGTGGTTATCATACATTTTGACATATTTGGGGTTATAAATAGGAAGAAATTTGAATGGGTTAATAACTATTAGAATACTGCCAACGTAGGTATAAATTTTTTCATGCTTAAAGCGATTTCGTAGGTTTTCTAAGAGAGTTTTCTCATTCAAGTCAGGTAAGCTACATAAATCATCAAAGTCTTTCTGTTGAGGCTGTGGAAGAAAACCTCGTTCCACCATCCTGCGTCGTTCTTCAGTTACCCGTAGCCATGACTGAAGGCTACCATAATGGATTGATCCATCAAGGTTTTTTTCCCGCAGAAGAAAGCGGTAGTCCTCTCCACTTAAGCGATTTTCCAGAGCCATTCGTGGCCACAACATCATTCGCTGAACTGGACAGTCTGTTGGATTGAGTATCCATTCTTCTCCACCAAATTCCTTTACCTCTGCTAAAACATAACATTTTGTTTTGTCTAGATGAAGTTTGTTTATAAGAGTGTCAATCACCTCAGCAGCTGTGGTGTTTTTCCTGGCAGGAACTGGACAGTAGATTGTCCCTTCTGAAATTGTCCCAGGATATATACGTAATGTATGTTCATTATCCTCAAAGCGTCGTCTTCCTCCATCACTTATATTCATATTGGATCCTGTCCCATCAGCATAAATAGTATGTGTTGTTCAAGATCATGCAAATCATTTTCTTGGCAAAAAAACTGTAATATAAAAGACGTGAAACATTTACAAGTCATATTAAACATTGCTGACGCTCAAAAAAGAAAGACTTAACAAACACATTCATTACATACATCTTTTAGAACACAAAATTCTAACTCTCAGTACAGGAACAAGTACTGCAAATAGTCTCATTGAGACTACATCCTACTGTTCAAATAAAGAGTATTTTCTAAAACAGTAACTGGCAAAAAATATATATATATATATACATTTCAATGTTTTGTTTTATCAACAATTCAGAATTTAAAAAGTACAATATCCCCTGATATTTCAAATGATTCTAAGTTACTTGCAATTAAAACGAAGTTTATTCTTTATTCACTAAGGACTGGACTAAAGGACAGAATAATTACACAAAGCTAGTCACCTTGCACCCAAATTTCTTAAAAGATGATGCAAAAACAAGAAAGAATGCTTTCAGTGGTGCAAAAACTTTGTGAAATACATTAATTACAGAAAGATCAGAAAATAACATTATAATCAAGAAAGCAATGAGAGAAACCTGTTATGTAAATAGACATAGTTTCAAAGAACTCTGGGTTTTGACTCTCCTCTTTGCCCGTCCGGACAGACAAGTTTGAGCAGAGTAAGAAAAAGATTCTGCTGGACTTACTGAGACAAATTGAAAATATTATACAAGTAGGCACCATTATAAATTTATTCAACCTCCTTTTGTCTTTTTATGTTAATATTCTACCTTTCCACCTACCCTCATTCCATTCCACATACCCTATCAATCTTCTCATATTCCCCAAACACTACTCTTTTACACCTCACTCAGAAAATAATTACCTACAAATGGTTTCTCAACCTCAATCTATTCTTATTTTCATTTCATCTCTATTCTTCAGTTCCTGTATAGAGAAAAATTGTTCCACATCCTTTCCAGAACAAAACTTATTATCTCCATTAGTACTATGTCCTACCAAAAAAAAATTCTCATTTGTCATCAACCTTCTTCTTTTTAGTTATTTCATCCTTTAACATATAATGTGCTATTTTTAAAAATATTCAGTTATTTCAATATCATACTACCAAATATTTGTCAAAATCCTCTAATCAAGAAACTTTGTTATCTTTTTCCTAGATGATATTTCAAATATACAGATTATGGAACATATAAAAAGCAACCATATATCTACTGCTCAAATTCAACAAGTTTGAAAACTGCTATGCTCACTCATAAACACATGTATTAAAAACAGTTAAAGTTCCCTCATTTGCTTTATGATATGACCACTACCCAGAAGTTGTTATTATTCTATGTTTTTGTATTTGTATTACCTGTGAGTCTCCATAATTTATATATAATACTGTTTTGTTTTTAATCTCTAAGAAATATTATCACACTATAGTCTACTTTTCACTTTAGTTTAATATCATTTTGCCTATTAACAGATGTAAAGTTCAATAATGGCTAAATAACATCCCATTTCATGATTCTACCACAGTTAATCAATTCACTCACTGCCCTCCTAGTGAATATTACGATGGTTCCAACATTACACTATGAAAACAATGCTGCAATTCTCACACATGTCTCCTCATGTTTATTTGCTAGATTTTTCTCTTTATAATTAAGAGTAAAATTACTGCATTTGGAGTTTCTTAACTTTGCCAGATATTAACAAAACGCTTTCCAAATGGTTACTCAAATGTCCATTTCAAACAAATGTAGCAGAGTTCAGACTTTTCTGTTTCCTTACTAAAAGTCAGTATTGTCAGAATATTGAGTTTCTGCCAATCTAAAGTACAAAAAGATTATTCTTTAATTTGCATCTCCTTGATTATTAGTGAGGATTGGCAACTCTAATCATCTCATTTGCCATTTGGGCTAAGTTGCTCATTCATTTTGATCTCCTTTTTTAATAAGTTGTCTTCTCCTTATCAGTTTAAATGAGTTTTTCATATATTTTTTTTTTTAGTATTTTAATCAGCTTTCAGTTGATTGTGTGGCAAAATCTCCTGTCAACCAGGGACTTACCTCTTTTATTTACAACACATTTTGTTATAGAGAAGTTTTTACTTTTTTAATATTTTTTATTTTATTTATTTTTCAGTTGTTATGTATTTTTATGTGGTGCTGAGGATCGAACCCAGGGCCTCACACATGTGAGGTGAGCGTTCTACCACTGAGCCACAATCCCAGCCCCTAGAAGTTTTTACTTTTAAAGAGAAAATTTATTGATCCCTTATAGCTTGTCCTTTTTATATCTTTTCTCTCTCCACCCATCCGCCCCAGCCTTGTGGTGCTGGAAATTGAACCTAAGGCCTTGCTCAGGGTAGGCAAACAGAATATCATTTAGTTACACCCACAATTTTTTTTTTTTTACAAAAGTTTATTCTTAAATTTACAACAGACTCCACACAACACTTCATTGTAGCTATAGGTGGCAAAAGATATTACAGTGGGGGTACTGGTGTTTCATAGGAATGGAATTAATGGTCACCATCATTTCAGGCACAAGAAACGAGTTACTTTTTGCCAGATTTCTTAATTCCCCTGTGGCCAAGGGGCCCTTCCCAGCGGCCTTCACTTTTAGCTCCTCAAGTTTCTTCTGCTCCTGTTTTTGTTTCTGTTTAAAAGCTTTTTCTTCCTCATCCATCTCCTTGGACTGCTTCTTAGGCTGTTTCAGGGGCTTCTTCTTGCTACATTCACGGCTGGACATGGTGCCTGTCACCCCCACCCCAGACCTTGATCCCAAACTGGAAACACCCACAATTTTTTGAGACAGGAGTCTAAAAGGCCCAAGGTGGCCTCAACCTCAAAGTTGTTTCATCAACCTCCCAAATAGATGAGATTACAAATGCAACTCTGCATCCAGGTTGTTTTTTAGTAAACAACGGGGAAAAACGGTTGTATTTCATTCTTAATGCATGCTTGTTTTCACTAGTCATTTAACTTCACATAAATCTTTACAATTCTTCCTTTACTGTTTTTATTACTGTCATCCTCACTTTACAAATGATAGAACAAATGCAGAAAGATTATATAACTTACCCAAAATCATAACTAGAATATGATAAAGACTTAAAAGCAGGCAGTCTGGCTCTAAAGTTTATCATTTCCTGGTAGTTTTTCTTTAAATACTTATTTATGCTGAGGACATAAAGTTATCTTATATTTTCTTACAAAAGGCCTAGGTTTTCTGTTTTTTTGGGTTTTTTTTCTTAGGTCTTTAATTCACATAATCTATTTTCAGGCTATTGTAAGACAGGGCTCTTAATTAATTCACTCCAACTCAAATTAACAATTAACCAGCATCTAATACTCAGCTCTCTGTGCACTGATATATAATGCCACCTTTGCCAGGTAGCAAATTCCATATACCTAACAATGTGTTCTGGGTTTTATATTCTGTTCCACAGCTGTATTTGTCTATCCCTGAGCCCATCTTAATTATCACAATTCTATAATAAATTCTCATATATGAAGAACATATCTCCAAAATTTGGTGTTTTTCACTTTGGCTATTTACCATAATAATTTCAACATAAGTACGTTTACTCCCATGAAAAATATATTTTGACATTTTGAAATTGCATTTTTATAGATTAATATTGGAAAGAACATTATTGACTTTTCCCACTCATGAACACTATGTTGTTGGTGTTCTCCAGCTGCTTTAACTGCAGATTTCTTTCACTTCTAAAATTTGTCATTTTCATATCCACCTGATCTTTTCTCTACCTACTTAAATTTCACAACTGTTTTAATATAAGGGCTATTACTCTCACTCATTTTTTAAAATTCTAAATATAAAACCTAATATTTTTAGGACTAACATTTTAATATCATCCAGACTGAATTGCTCTTCTGATTGCTGATTTTTGTATCTTTGTTAGCACTAGAGATGGTCTCTTATGTTTGAGAATTTATATTTGGAGGTATACTTCAGATGAAACTTTCATTTTTCATACAAACACTGAGAATCCACTTACTATTTTGTTTCAATCATGACACTACCATAATTGAACCTTTAAAAAGTAACTTTTTTTTTTTTGAGACAGGGTCTCACTATGTTGTCCAGGGGACTGTGAACCCATAATCCTCCTGTCTCAGCCTCCCAAGCAGATGAGATTACAGGCAGGTGCCGCTGCATCTAGCTTAAAATTAATGATTTTTAATATTAATCAATATTAAATGTTCCCCAATTATCCCCCAAAAAAATATTTTTAAAAGTTATTTAAGTAGAATCAGGAGAGTCTGCTCTGCTATGTTTTTGTTCTCCTGAATCCCTAAGAATAAGGCTTCACGGAAGCAAAGTACTCCTTACAGCAGGAAGGCTGGACTCTATTACTTCAGGAAATGCACTAAATGACTACAATCTGATTCCTAAGGTTATATAATATGACAACCCTAAAACTAAACTCAGAACCTTCTTTCTCAACAGAGGAGCGCTATCCTAAGCTGTGATTTTGAACAATAAACCCACTTCAATTACATCTCCCCATTACCTCTAAGAAGCTAAAACCTCTTCAGCTGCTTTAACTGCAGGTTTCCAGCAACAGCCACAGCATAATCTTCTATTCCCACTTATGTCAATATGATTTTCTTTTGTTATTATTTTAAGTCATGACTTTGTGTCTGAATTTGCATAAAAATATAACTCACAAATCCATATTTATCTCAAGCTGCTTGAAAAAAAATCTATATTTGTAATTTCCAAACTTAAGCATTTATTAGCATCATCTGGGGAACTTTTTAAAAAATATACATTTCCAAGGGAAATCTAGGCAACTCTGTTATTCATAATCCAGAGAACAGAACATGGGAATGACTATATTTCCAAGTATTTAAGAACCCACACTCTGCTCCCCTTCTCAATACTCTTTGAAATAGTCACCAATTATCAAAGAGATGCTAAATTCAGAGGCCTTTTATTCATCTTCACACAACATAGCATATGTCTAAAGGCAGTCAACTTCTGATTCTTGAACTGCTCTCACATGAAGATTATTTTTCATGTAATCTTCC